TCTTATGCCAAGAAATAATTATAATTAAACATTCATTTGTAACAAAAATTATAATTTTAATAAAATAAATGTTTATTTGTAAGAAATAATTATAATTTTAATGAAAAAAATATTTCTATATAACAAAAATGCGTAATTCTATTGTTGTAAATGTTTATTTGTAACAAAAAATAAAAATTTGAATCAGTAAAATATTTGTTTGCAAAAAAAATTTACAATTCTTATAAAATAAATATTTATTTCTCTACTATAATTATAATTTGAATCATAATTGAATGATAAAATAAAAATTTATTTTGTTTTAATTCATTTTATTTCAAATAAAAAATTTGAATAAAATACAAAGAAATTAAAAATATAAATAAAATAAAGAAATATTCTACGGAGGTAAAGGAAAAACTGTCTACAGTTTTTCTTTGAGAAAAGATAAGATTATTTAGAGCGAAACTCAAATTTGAAAATTAAATCTAATGAGCTTGTATCTTGCACGTGTCAAAGATTACATTATAAAGAGCAATTATCTTTTTCTCCTCAATGTGAGTCATGAAATATACCTACAACTAGATCGTAACACTGCTGTCATTTAATATATCTTACAATAGAAACTATTCATGATAACACGTACCCCTGTTCAATTCGCTCAAATAATCATTATAAAAAGAATTTTTTTCGTCAATTTTTTTTCTCACAAATTTAAAATTATGCTAATTACTTAATTGTATTTACACCCAGAGAAATGTTTTATTTGTCTTAAATAAAAATTTTATTTAGCACAAGAAAAACTTTTATTCGAACCAAATAAAATTTATTTGAAACAAATAAGAGATTCAGTCATGTATACTTTTATTCTGGGTGTATTTACTTGTAATTTTTTTTTATTTTATAATTTTTATTTTTCGTACAGTTGATTATGAGAAAAATAAATTTTCTTTCGGTGTCTTTGAACTTTATTGTGCGGAAATATGTAATTGTCGCATACCTCGTCCTTCACATTGATAGCAAATATGTAAAAAAAGAATCTGATATAAATATAGATTTTTTTTATAGTATTCTTTTATAGTATTTGTTTATAAATATTCTTTTAATATATTTTTTGTAGTATTTTTTGTAGTATTTTTTATAGTATTTTTTTCTCATCTCGTTTTCTTCTAATTAGGCAAAAATTTTGTATATATTGGGAAAAATTCTCTTTAAAAGTAGCATCAGTCTGAGAAATGGGAATAAGATTCTGTTTGATGTATAATAATGTAATATATACCGCTAAGATGAAACACACATCATTGGTTGTTACCAACGCTGTGCTAAACTAGCGTCGATGCAATCGATCTTTTTTTCAGACCAAGGACACGTACTGAAGAGTCATCAGCTTTAACGCGACACTTTGCTTATAATCTTGGGTCAAGTGAAAGATCATTCGTTTCATCTCGAATGTAAATTTTGGTTTCTTTTTCAGACCCAAGTAGATTTTTTTTTTTAATAGGACCTACAAAGGGATTTTAAAATATACATTTACGTACTTTTTTTCGCTCATCTTTCCTTTTTTCACGAGACACGAGACTTAAAAAATATCCAATAAATTAATTTTTTCGATTTTTGAAAGACGTATATAAAAGGTAAAAGAAAAACACTCTTTTACTTTTTTATAAAATAGACGACGTTTCGGTGGTCAGGTTCGCCACCATCATCAGGTCACTTTAATAGAAAAATTTTTTTAAAAAAAATTAATACTCGCAATTAGCGAGCATAAAAACAAAAACCTCGAATCCGTTGTGAACAAACATCAAACTGAATATAATCATTCTTTTAATTTTGACGATGCAGAAATTTTAGATTATGAAACTTCTTATAAAAAACGATTAATTTCTGAGATGATTTATATTAAATGCAATAATTTTACTATTAACAAGAAGGAAGATATACAGTTTCTTAGTAATTCCTATTTTCCTTTGCTTAATAAATTGAAATAATGGTTATAATTCATAATATTTCGATTGCGGGTCATTGACCCCATCAGACTGTATATAACGCGAAAATTGTCACCGGCTCAGTCAGTTTGACTAATCACTCGTTTTAATATGTTTGTGATTTGTAAATTTAAATATTTTATTTTTTTTTTGTTGTATTGCGTTTATTTATGTTTTTAATTTATTGACGTGATGTTTATTTTATTGACTTTAACTAGGTAAAAATTTTTTTTTATTTTTTGTTTGAATTTAAATTTTAAAAAATTTTGTTGTATTAATTTTTTTTTTTTAAATTTTTCTATTAAAGTGACCTGATGATGGTGGCGAACCTGACCACCGAAACGTCGTCTATTTTATAAAAAAGTAAAAGAGTGTTTTTCTTTTACCTTTTATACACGTCTTCCAAAAATCGAAAAAATTAATTTATTAAATAACTGTGGAAGAATTTACTAAATATTTAATTAAAAAATATCCCTGAGAACTTTTTTTCTATTCGTAAAATTTATCAAAAATTTTTTTATTCGTGAATTAGTTTATTTTGACGAGGATTTTTTTTTAAATTTGAAAGATAATTGAATTTTATGAGAAGAATTTTATCACTCTTGAAAATAATTGAATTTATGCAATTATTTGTAATTTTTCCAAAATTGAATTTTTTTAGTGTTTTCAACAAAAATTTGAATTACCAATTTTTAAATTCTATTATTTTTAAAATTGCTAATTTTGTCCTAAAAAGTTTGTCGCGCGCGAATTGTTGCTAGTTTATTATAAAAATAAATATATTTTTTATTTTTAACTTAATATTTATTTTCACCAAACGTATATTTTTTTTAACTTGATAATATTTAATTGTATAATAATTATATTGATAAAAATTAAAAATGAACATTAATTAAATTATTTGAATGAAAATAAATTTTTCCGAGTATATTTAGAAAAAAAAAATTTTTTTTAATATCATTTTTATTATTGTTATAGTGGAAAATAAAATTGTGGACAATATGACGCGGTCAAGGTTAATTTATATAAAATTATTTCATCTTTCCTGCTTCCCATTTTCAAGCAGTTTGCGTTTACAACGTTAGACGTATTAAAATAATACGTCAAGCTGGGAATTCAAGTAATTGAGCTTGTACCACTTTAAAGACAAAATTATTATTGTCGAGTAGACTCTCCACGTGGGCGAGAAAATCAGTTTCTCGAACGTTAACTTAAATATTCCACTATTTAGATACCTGATCACTTCTTAATCGTTTATTTATCGAATTAAAATCAATTTATTTAGAGTTATTTTAATTATTATTATTATAATTAAAAATTACGATAAATAAATCGTAAATAAATAATAAATCATTATTTTTAATTATTTAATTAACAATTAATTTTATATTTTCTTAATAATAAAGAATTAGTACCTATAGTTTTAGTATTTTATAACAACAATATTTTATAATAGGAAAAAAATTAATAATAATAATAATAATACACTGAAAAAAAATTTAGTTCATTCAAATCACCGATTATGTCTAATATTATCAAGTAAATATTTCTTTGAGTCAAATAATTTTTATTTAAATCAATTAAATGGTATTTGCCTCAAATAATTTTTATTTAAATTAATTAAATGGTATTTGCCTCAAATCTGAAATTATTGATTCAAATATAATTTAAGGGACATAAATGAAAATTATTTAATTCAAGTAAACATTTAATTGATAATAGACAAGTAATCGGTTATTTGAATCAAATAATTTTTTTTTAGTGTAATAATAATAATAATAATGTCAATAATACAATAAAAAAAATTTATTTGATTATTTAAATCAAATAAAATCGAATTTTGCGTGAAATTTATATTTTAAAATATAAAATTTTGTATAAAATTTTAATCTAAATTTTATTGTATAAAAATTGTTTGAAATTTACTAATATAATTATATAACAAATGATGTGTGAGAATGTAATTACAATGTTATTAAAATACAAAGTGTATTTATTATGTTGATGTAATTATTTATAATTTGCTTGAGAAAAAAAATGAAAGTGCACATCTTTTCATCTTCGGTATAGAGTTTGAACTTTTGTGTTCTAATCGAGTAAATTGTTATATATATGTATACAGTTTGCAGCGAAAGATTTTATAATCGAGTGAACTGGTTCAGATCATTGAACAACTGAGCAGTGAAAGTGGCACACGTGCAAATACCAATACCTGTAATAATCTTAACGTCTTGTAATCCTTAAGAAATCTTTTCTTTAGATCGTCGTTCAATGAACCTCACATAAACAGAGATTATATTTATCCCCGATTTTTTTTTTTTTTTTTGCAAATCATCAATAATTGATTAATTAAAGTCCACACTTTTAAATTTTAATTGGAAAATAAATTTCACTCGAAACGAGATCTTTGTCTTTGGATATTTAAATATTTATGTTAAAATTTTATATAATGAGAAAATAATATAATATAGTCGTAATAATAATTATTATTATTTTTAATATTAATAATAATAATAATTATTTTTATTATTAATAATAATAATTATTATTTTTATTATTAATAATAATAATTATTATTTTTATTATTATTAATAACAATAATAATAATTATTATTATTATTACTATTATTATTAATAAATAAAATGCTGAGATTAACGATCACTCAATCGGATTAATTTTAAATTGTATCATCCGCCATATTTGTTCCGACATTTTGAATTTTGAAAAACTAAAGTTAAAGTAAAAAGACGAAAATTCGCCCTTTTTTCGAATTTTTATTATTTTTATGGTCGAAAGTTGGTATATTTTTAAATAATTAATTTATTATTATGAATGAACGTTTAATTTATATTATTTTCCCGTATTGGTATTTTTTTTATCGTAAATTACTTTCACTGCTTTTTTTCCATTCCACATTTCTATTTCTGTATATTAATGAGTCTTTAATATAGAGGAAAAAATTGAAAAAAAACAAAAATTAAATTCCTGATAAAATTAAATCACCACTAATACTCGTTTTATCTTTCTTTTTGCAGATTTAATACATTGCACGAACGAGCCAAATGTATCGATTCCACAATTAGCCAATTTATTGATAGAACGGTCACAAAATACAAATTGGACGGTGGTTTTTAAAGCTCTCATCACGGTGCATCATATGCTCTGCTATGGAAATGAGGTGATTATAAATTTTAGATTGGATTTTCCATTTAAAAATGATTTTCACTAATTTTAACCGTGTGATAAAAAATATTGAAGAATTTTTCTCATTATTAGATGAAAAAAAAATACAATTTATTTTCATTTCAATTGATGTGACTTAAGGTCATTGTGAGATAAATTTAAACCATGCATCTAAAATACTCTCTCTAGACAGTTCAACTTGACACTGGACCAAAATTCTAATCAGACAATTCTATATTGTGGAGTTAAAGAATCGTTTGTTTTTTTTATTTACTCCCTAGTTTTAGAAATCACGAATTTTTTCCATTTTGAAAAAAAATTCTTCGCAAAGAAAAATAAAAAAAAAAAGAATTAGAATTTTTTTTTTTAATAAAAATCTCTTTTTATTTTATACGGAAATTGTGTTTCCATGAAATATAAATTTTTTCCACAATAAAAATTCGAAATTCACAATTTTTTTCCAAACATAAAAAGCGTACTGAAAGGTTTTTTATTATAAGAAAAATTGTATTGAAAATCTTTTTTATTAAAAAAAATCTTATTGACAATTTTTTTTATTAAAAGAAAAATCTATTGGAAGGTTATATTATTTAAAAAATCTGTATTAAAATTTTTTTTATTAAAAAAAATTGTATTCAAAGTTATTTTTTATTAAAAATTTTTTTTATTAAAAAAATTGTGTCGAAAGTTTCTGTTTCATTAAAAAAAGAGAGAATTAAAATCTCTACTTCGTCACTGATATAAATTATCGTTAATGAAATTATTATTTAATTGTCGCGAATGCATTATTATTGTTATTATGAGAGATTAATGATAGGAATATCTTCACTAGACATCTGCCTCTTTATTTAATGTTCGAAAGTTTCTTATTCTATTGAAATAAAGTAAATTACTCGAAAGAATTAATACGATATTTGCGCTTTGAAAAAAGAAATCTTATCGTTTTTAGAGATTATAAACTTGTCTATTTCAATTCACTATTCCTAGGTCAGGGATAATATTAAAATGAAAAGCATTCGTGAATAAATTTTTCTTTTAAAAATAAACGCTTTGACAAGATGCACTTTTGATCCTCGGATGGGAAAAAATTTATTCCAATCTTATAACTCCATATGTTGTAAACAATCTTTCACAATCTTTCGGCAAAATGAAAGGAAAACTATTTTCATATTTTACTATTCTATTTTATCTTTTTTTAACTTTTCTAGGTATTTTGTTTATTTTTTATTATTTAATTTTTATCTTTACTCTTTTTTTCATCTCTTTTCTTTTTTTTTGCTTTTTTTTCTTTTTTTCTATTATTATATATTTTTTATTTTTTCTCTTTTATTTTTTTTCCCTTTTCTATGTGTAAATAATTCAGAAAAATTTTTTTCTCTTTTGAATAATTTAAAACGTAGGGAAAAGTAAAGGAATTTTATCAAAAGTACTGGAAAAATAACAAACTTTTAGAATTATTACGAAAATTCTACTTTTTGGTGTCGAGAAATATTTTTAAAAAGCATAAAAACCTCAATTTTTTCTTAACAATTTTTTAATCTGAATGAATTTTAAAGCAATGCCTTAAATTTTTCTTATTTTTGTAAATAATTAAATTTATTCTGAATAATTAAATTCTAAAATAACTTTCTAAAATTTAATTAATTCTACTTAACTTAAAAAAAAAAATTTAGTTGAAAAAAGTTTCAATTTTCAAAAATAATTATAAATTTCAGAAGGCTTTAATCTAGAATCCTTGAAAATTTCAATAATTGATGTGAAGATATTAATAGCAATGAAATATTTATTTAAAAAATTATTCAAGTTTTAAATAATTTTATTTAAAATTCTAAAAAAATTGGATTTCTAAGAAATTTTAATTCAATCGTTTAAAGATACTTGAATTTAAAGCAAATTTAAAACAATTTTATAAAATTGTACTAAAAAATTATCAAATTTATTGAAATTTTGTGAAATTTTAGTAAATATAATACAGTTAAATATTTATTTAAAAAATGATTCAAGTTTTTAAATAATTTTATTTAAAATTCTGGAAAAAATTGGATTTAAGAATCTAAGAAATTTTAATTTTGCTTAAAGATACTTGAATTTTTGAAGAAATTGTATTAAAAAATTATTAAATTAGTTGAAATTTTGTGAAATTTTATTAAATATAATACAATTCGTTAATTAATTATTTATTTTGAAAATTATTCAAGTGGAAAAATTGTATTTCTATAAAATTTTAATTCAATTGTTTAAAGATACTTGAATTTAAAACAAAAAATTTATTTGAAAATTATCAGATTAATTGGAATTTTGTGAAATTTTATTAAATTTATTCGAAACTTCCATTTAAACAAAAAATTGTAATTTAAAAATTTTCAAAACTAACTAATTACTAAAAATTGTAACTCTAACTTTTTCGTAATTAAATTATTTTACATACAAGTTAAAATCTGTAATGAAAATGATACTTTTTTGACTAACAAACATATGAATAGATTTAATTGTGACTCTTTAGAAAATTATTTAATTTAATTAACAAATTGTAATAAATTTAATAAAATTTCACAAAATTCCAATTAATTGGATAATTTTTAAATAAATTTTTTGTTTTAAATTCAAGTATCTTTAAACAATTGAATTAAAATTTAATTACGAAATTAATAATTAATAATAATTATTTATTATTATATTAATAATTATTAATAATAATTATAATAAATAATAATTTAATTACGAAAGAGTTACAGTTACAATTTTTAGTAATTAGTTAGTTTGGAAAATTTTTAAATTACAATCTTTTGTTTAAATAGAAGTTTCGAAAAATTTTATTTGAAATTCAGATAATTTTATAAGCAAGTAATTAAAAATTTGTAAAATAATTGATTTTTTAAGCAATTTTTTTTGAAATTGTTTATAAACAATCGACGGAAATTTGACAAAGTGACTAATCTTATTTGTTAACTATTTTAATTTTCTATAGAGAGATCAGGAAAAGAATTTAAATTCTATCAGAAAATTAGGGAAAAACAAAATCAAATTTTTGTGGCAAACCTGAAAATTAAAACACTATTTTTCAAATTAAATTCTATTTTCTAAATTAAATACAATTTTCAAAATTAAATGCCATTTTCTAAATTAAATACAATTTTCTAAATTAAATACTATTTGTCAACTTAAATATAATTTGTAAATTAAATACAATTTTCCAATTGAAATTCTATTTTCCAAGTAAAATACTAAAATAGTAGCTTTTACCTTTATCTTTTATGTACCCATATTTCAATAATTTGTAAAAGTGTGAATATATTTTGCAATTGAAAAATTTTTTTTTCGTCTTCTAGTTTAGATATAATATTGTGAAATAATGAAAGGGAAAAATTTAATGAAAAATTGTTTGACTTTTGTTGCAGAGGTTCACACAGTACCTGGCATCTAGCAACAGTACATTTCAGCTCAGTAATTTTCTCGACAAGAGCGGTGTACAAGGTAAATATATTAGACATAGTGTGCCATAAACTTGGAAATAGTCTTAGTATAACTTGAAAACTTTTTAATCATGTGTAAAATAACTGCAGCCTTCCTTATATTTCCATAATACATTATACACGCAGTTTAATAATAAAATGCATTAAAGAATTTTTAATAACAGCATGAACGCTTCTTTCTTTTAAATTTGTTTTTTTTTCCAAAAGAAAACTACATAATGAAGATTTTTGTCACATATGTATTTCTATTTCTCTTTTCCATGTGTGTTTGGCTCTTTTTGATTTATACTAACATGGATTAATTTTCTCTATTTGGAAGCAGCTGGAGCTCGAGTCGGTAAGTTGTTATCATAACTGGATTCTCATTGATTCATGTAATAATAATTCACATAACACGTTACATTTTTCATTTAATTAACTAACGTAATAATTAAGAATTAATGGGCAATTGTGGCGCTTTCATTAATTAACAAAGTAAACCAATGATTTATAATATTTATGACTTTCATCTTTTTGTTATGAATTCATAAACAGGATATAATAAAATTCGTTTACAATTTTTTATTTACCTTTTTTATTTCTAGAGCAAAAATTCATAATTCGATATTACTAATTAATTATTTATTAAATATATCTGTTAAGAAAAATTTTTAATTTAGTCACTGAGTCAATTAAATTTTAATTTAACCAATAATTTCGGTATTTGAAACAAATACCATTTAATTGGTTCAAATAAAATTTAATTGATTTAAATAAAAATTATTTGATTCAAGTAAGTATTTATTCGATATAATAGACAAGTAATTCGTTATTTGAATCAAATAAATTTTTTTCAGTGTAAACTAACAAGTTAATAAAATTACGAAAATATAAATTTTATTAAAAGAAAAAATTGTATTAAAAAAACTATATTGAAAAAAATGAATTAATCTCAAATTTTACTGCACTTCTCGTGTTCACCTCAGAGATAAACTCAAGTAATTTAGAATTTTTATTATCGTTCTTGCCAAAGCTTAAGTGAAATAATCAATATTGGCTTTTTAAAAAAACAATTTTTATGACTTTTAATTCCCGATCAGATGTTTATTTTTTTAATTTTATGCACAAAGTTCGTCAAAAGCGGTTTTAAATTTTGCTTAATTAATTGCTATCAACTCGTAAACGGATTTGATGAAAAAATGTGTTTTTTTCCATTTTTATAGAATTTAATAATTTATTTAGTAATAAAAAAATAATTTAGTTTAATAATAATTGCTGATATCGTAGGAAAAACGAGAAAACTTTCACTAATAATAAATTTATTTGAATTAAAAGATTTCTTTTCGTAATTTTTTTCTTCTTTTATTTTGTTAAATTAATGAACTTCCTTGTTTCGCTAATAAGAGAAGATTTACAAATGAACAATGCACAAAAAGATTATGTGTTCTTTAATTTTTTATACATTTATTCTTCCTGTTTTCAGGATATGACATGTCACCATTCATCAGACGCTATGCCAAATACCTGAATGAGAAGGCTCTGTCCTACAGAACAGTCGCTTTTGATTTCTGTAAAGTTAAGCGGGGGTGAGAATTAAAAAAAAAGTTGATTACTATTATTATCATTATTGGAAAAATTTATACGAATATTTTCTATTTAGAATTAAAATTATTTTTATTTCTAATTTTTAAACTAATAATTAAGTAAATAATATTTTTTTTACAAAATTATTGTTCTTTAATTATTAATTTATTTTAATTATTAAATAATTAATTGTATAGAAATATTTTTATTTATTTATATTTTATTTTTTAATAACAATATTATTTGTTGCGTTATTACAATTTTTTATAACTATTTATTCATTTTTAAAATTTTTTTATTATACATATTTGCTTGTTATTCAATTTTTTAGATTGTTTATTTGATTTGTATAGCAATTTGGCTCTAAATTCTATTTAATTTTCTTAAATTAAATGAAATAATTAAAAATTAAATTAAATTAAAATTTATTTTTTTATTATTATTTTTATTATTATTATTTATTATTATTTTTTTTATTATTATTGAATAAATTACAATAAAAAATAAAGGAAAATATTCCCTTTTCTAAAAGTATTAATTGAAAAAAATGAAATTTGAAATAAACGAATTCAAAAAGCAATTTTCTGTTATGAAAAGAAAGTAATTTAATTGCAGAAAGTTTATGGAATCTTTTTTAATTAAATTTCCAGGAAGGAAGATGGAACATTACGCACAATGAATGCAGAGAAATTGCTGAAAACGTTGCCAGCATTGCAATCGCAGCTTGATGCATTATTGGAATTTGACTGTACATCGAACGATCTTACAAATGGTGTTATTAATATGGCCTTTATGTTGCTTTTTCGAGATTTAATTCGTCTCTTCGCTGGCTATAACGATGGAATTATTAATCTTTTAGGTAAACATAATAAATCACTCCTTGCAAAAAATAACAATAGATTTAAATTCTATTTTAATTAATGTTCCTACAGTACCGTCCGAAATTGTCAATCCACCCATTTTCAAAGGAATGACAAAAATTTTTTAACATAAAATTCATGAAAAGTAAAATTTTTTTTGGTTTATATTTTGAAAGACGATAAAATTTTGAAAAGAATAAGACCTTACAGAAGTCATTTAGCCAAAATTTGTAGAAGATATTCTTAAAAATCGTCATTTTCAATGTTTTACAAAAATTTGAATAACTTCTAAAATAATGAACGCTTTTTAATAATCTTAGGCTTATTTTAAAGACCATTTTCTACAGAATAAGAATTACTTATAGGCATTAACCTGTAATTTTTAACTTGGCATAAGCATGACGTCAAAGTTGGACAAAAAAATTTAAAAAATTTGAAATAATATTATTAAAAGAAAAATAATTTTTGAAATTCAAACATATATTTTTATTACATTTTCTTGAAAAATCTACACCATATCATGTTTTATATATGTTCTAGAATAGTTTTTAGTACAAAAAATTGATTTCAAATTTTTCCAATTTTTTTGTCTAATTTTGACGTCATGCTTATTCCAAGTTAAAAATGACAGGTTAATGCCTTTAAGTAATTCTTATTCCGTAGAAAAAGACCTTTAAAATAAGCCTAAGATTATTAAAAAGCGTTCATTATTTTACAAGTTATTTAAATTTTTGTAAAACATTGAAAATGACGATTTTTAGGAATATCTTCTACAAATTTTGGCCAAATGACTTCTGTAAGGTCTTATTCTTTTCAAAATTTTATCGTCTTTCAAAATATAAACCAAAAAAAATTTTAGTTTTCATGAATTTTATGTTAAAAAATTTTTGTCATTCCTTTAAAAATGGGTGGACTGACAATTGCGGACGGTACTGTATAAAGTTCCGAACGTTTAAATAAACAAAATTTATTTATTTTCTTCTTCAAATTAAAATTTTATTAAAAAAGAAAAATTAATTATCAAAATTATAAAATTTTGTTTCAGATAAAAAAGAAATTATAAATAAATTTATTTATTTTCTTCTTCAAATTAAAATTTTATTAAAAAAGAAAAATTAATTATCAAAATTATAAAATTTTGTTTCAGATAAAAAAGAAAGGCAAAAATGAAATTAAACGTTTACAAAATTTGTCATTTATTTTTTCTAATAAGTGACGCGACTCTTTTGCCAGAAAATTTGAATTTAAATAAAAAGTAAACAAATTTGGTTTATTTGAACGTTCGAATAATTAGGAACATTTTTTGAATAATAATTCTTAAGTGAACAATATTAATAATTAATAATCTTAATTCAAAAATTTTAAATATTAATAATAATTTAAATAATATTTTTTCGATTAAAAAACATTTTTGTATTTTGCAGAAAAATACTTTGACATGAATAAAAAGCAATGCAGAGATGCGTTAGATTTGTACAAAAAATTCCTCATTAGAATGGATAGAGTTGGAGAATTTCTTAAAGTAGCAGAGGTGAGAATATAATTTTTCTAAAAGAAAATAAATTTTATTACTTATATTGATTATTGTAAATGTTTAGGTATTATTTTTTCAATATTATTTCTCTTTGTTTTAATTTTTTTAATTTAATATATATTTTTTTTTAAAGATTTATTTACTAATTATTTATTTCCTAAAAATTTAAATTTAATGTAAAATTTTCTTTTATAAATTTTTTTTTTAGTTTTTCTTATAAAAAAATACTGTAAAAAGTGTATTTAATAAAAATTTATCTACTATTTATTTTTGCTAAAATTTACTTTTATTTTCAGAATGTGGGAATTGACAAAGGCGACATTCCAGACCTCACGAAGGTAAAATTCTTATCTAATAACTAATTGCTGTATTGTTTTTTTTTCGTGAAACAAAAATAGATCTAATAAATTTTCTCTTTTCTCGAAAATTATTGAATGATAGTCTGAGGTACAGTTGTTAAAAAATTAATTTACTTTTAAAGGAAAATTAACAGTTTTGCTAGTCTGTAACTTTAATTAGTGCTCTATTGTTTAATTTTCTTTTTTAATATTAAAATTGCTTTCAATAAAGTATTAATTTCGTTTAATTAAATTACTACTGTATTGTTTCTTTTCTCTAGTATTTATTTTTTTTTCTTCAATTTATTAGTTCTTTTATTTTTATTACACTTTTTTATTTTTTGCTATTGTTTTATTATTCATTTAGTTAATATTTTTGTCTATTATTTATTTAGAAATATTTTTAGAATAAAAATACAATTAATACCTATTGTTTTTTTTAGTTCGTTGTATTTACAATTTTTTATAGAATCTGTTTTATAATTTCTATAATTTACTTTAAATTGTTATTACTATTATTATTATAATAGTAGACAAATTTAGGAATTTGTTTTCCTATTATTTATTTTACTTTTTATTTTTAATTTTATTATTTTTATTTTTATTTTATATATTAATTTATTTTTATTTAAGTTCTACAACTCATTAAATTGAAATTATTTTTTTAGGCACCAAGCAGTTTATTAGACGCCTTGGAACAACATCTCGCGGCCCTTGAAGGAAAGAAGGGCTCAGCTGCAAATACACCGACACAAACAGCAAGGTACATTGTGTTTAATTACACAATTCTTTTTTTTTATTATAATAATTCCAAGACCAATACAGTGGGAATAGAAAATAATTTATGATTTCCGCTAATAATTCCCGTTTAATTATCAAAGATTAAAATCTTATTGCTTGCTTTTTTAATAAATCGTAAAATATTTTTTGCCCCGCCAGTGATAAAATTGTTAACTCTATTTTCACTGTATGATACTTATAATTGTTTGTCCTAACCCATTAATAAGATTAATACCTTAATGTGACGGAAGTATATTTTAAGTTAACTACTAATCCTTCCTGTTTCATGTACCTTCATAAAAAAACCTTTTTTTTCTCTGAAATTATATGAGTATATACATACAATTAACACACATGCACATGAACACGAATTGTTCATAATTTTTGTCTCATTTCGGATTTAACAAAAGAAAACAAAAAAATGGTTTTACCTATTTTTGTTGTATTTTTTTAATTTTTGTAACAGATTTTTAGTTATTTTATAGGATTAAAATACTTTCACACTGGTTTGAATCTGGTATGTCGTTAATATTGCCAAATTGTGCATTCATGATAATATTTGATTCTTTTATTAATGAATCACGTAGAAAAATTTTTTTTTTGCATTTTCAATTTTATCTTTGGTTTATATGTAAATTCTCCAGTGGATTCTCTCTCTTTCTCTCTTGAGTGTTTATCTTTAGAAAATGAAATTTACTAAAAGTTTCTTTAAAAAAATAAAAAGTAAAATAAAATTACAAATTTAAATTGAAGATAAATAAAATTTACATTTTTTTAAAAGAAACCTTGTTAATAAAAATACATTTTTGGCAATAGTAAATTTTAATTGTAAATTAAAATAGTAAATTCTCTAGTAAATAGTAAATTTTATAAATAAAGTTAATAAGAAATTCTTTTTGGTACTAGCAAACAATTTTTTTTATTAATAATTAAATAACATTTTAACCAAAAATTCTTAACCAAATAATTTTTATAGATCATAAAAAAATTTTGAATTGATAAACAATTTTTGTTTTTTTGTTTAAATAAATACTAATTTTGTTAAACGGTTGAATTAGAAATTTTAAATCAGTAATAATAAACAATTTTCGATCATAATGGATATTAAATTGTTAATAATTATTTTAATGCTATTAAAAAATTTTTGATTATTTAAAAATTAAAATCTACTAATTTTATATAAATCAAAGGTTTGAAATGAAAATTGCAATCAAAATATTGGTCTAAAAACTCAAACAGCAATGTGACCAAAAATGCACGCCTATTGTGTTGTAGATTTTTTTTTGAGAAACTCCTTGTAAACTATTTAATAGTTATTTACTTATTTGTCCTATTTTCTATCTAATACAATATTTAATTTATTTTCTACTCAATTTGTACTTATTTTGTTTTCTATTCGATAGATTATTTTTTTAGTAGAAAATATATTTTTTTTTAGGGAAAGAATTGATATCTTCATATGCCATTAATTATTTTTAATAATAATAAATAAATTTTTGATAGAAAACTATTTTTAATAGAAAGTCATTTTTAATAGTAAAAATAAATAAATATATTTGTAAATAGAAAAATATTTTTTTTTTAAAGAAAAAATTAATAATTTTTTAAAAATAAAAACCAATTATTTTTGATAGAAAATTAATTACTTTTGACAGAAAATTAATCATTTTTTGACAGAAAGTTATAATGATTTTTGAAAGAAAGTTATATATTTTTGATAGAAAATTAATTATTTTTGACAGAAATTTAATCATTTTTGATAGAAAATTTAATATTTTTGCTAGAAAATAAATCATTTATGATAGAAAATTAAATTATTTTCGATAGAAATTTAATCATTTTTTGAGATAGAAAATTAATTATCCTAACAGATTGATTAATTAGTTCATAAACTTAATACATTAATTTTTTCTATATTCGATAGATACTTCTTTTCGTTTTTAAATAGAAATCCATTCAAAGAATTGAATTCTCTTTCTTTTTACTTGAAATGCAATAAAAATTGGAACATTGCTTTTTATGTGCTTGAAAAAAAGGCACAAAAATTCTTTTTTCTCTTCTACTTCTTCTTCTTTTTAATTAGTTAGGACACATTCACTTCTGCATTAGTACAAATGAATTCTTACGCAATTTACACTGGTCATCAATTTTCTAATTGCACAATTTCATAAAAGCATGTTGTAATTCAACAATGTGTTACAGTTTTTATTGTCAATGTATATTACAAGCATAATATATTTTACGAACGCTGAAAAAAATTTTTCTTTGATTCAAATAAAATTTATTTGATTCACAAGTAAATTATTTGGTTTACAATATTAAATTATTTATTAATAGCCAAGTAATTAATTGTCTGAATTAAATAAATTGTTCTTCAGTGTAAAACGAAGATGAATATTTGTTTTTTGACAAGAAAATTTTTGTTTGATTTGAGAGACAAAAACTGTTTTTTTTTATTGCACAGTAAAATTTTTCTTGTTATAAATAAAGAATATTCATATATAAAAAGTATTTCGAAAAATATTTTTATTATTATTTTTATTATTATATTATTAATTTATATAGAATTCTATCTTTAAATTCAAATTCTATCTTTTTTTGTAGGAAAAATTGTTTTTTATGAAAAATTAATTGAAATTAAGATCACTTTAATTTAAAAATAATATTTTTAATTAAAAAATTTTTCTTTATTAAAAATCAATGGAATATTTTGTTGTCATTGTAGGAAAAATTTTTCTCAGTGCTTTGAATAGTGTAAATAATGAAATTGTATTTAAAGTAAATATGTTACATTTGCTTTTGAGATAAATCGCTTGAAGTGTGCTTGAAGCTTTACCGATTCAAAGTTTTTTTTCTGAATTTAATTCTTTTCTGTTAGTAAAAACAAAATAGTTCACTGAAAGTAGTTTTTTGTCATTTTCAGAAAATTTAGTTTCCATTTCATTGAATTTTCGTCTTGTAAATATACATAATGCCTTATATACATTAACGCTAAAATTCATATTTTTTTCAATAATTAATTCATATGTAATTTATATATACACTGAAATTTTTTCTATTTTATTTCCTTGTTATCTGTGTTTGAAATATTTTAATTTTTTTCTAATCTAAATTTTTGTTTCTTTTTCTAAAATTCATTTTTTTTTTTTAATAAATTTTTTCTTTCTAAAATTCATTTTATTTCTTTTTTAAGTATAAATTTTAGTTTTTTTCCAATATGCATTTTAGTTAAATACTTTTTCTACTTTAAATTTTAGTTTCTTTTTCTAATATACATTCAAGGATTTATTTTTTTCTAATATAGTAATTTAGTAATTTTAATTTTCTAATTTTGTAAATTTAGTTTTATTTCATTCAAATTTTAGTAGAATGTGAAAATTATTTATTTAATCCACTGTTTGAATTCCATAAAACTTACAAGCACACGGAACATTATTTTAGTTTTTTGGCATATATTTCTGCATATTACATGTATTACACGACTTCTTTGTTTTTTTGTTTTTCTCTCCTTTATTTTCAATTATCAATTATCCCTATCACTCCTCTCACGAATTTCTTCAAAACATTTTACGAAAAAAAAAAAATACAAATCATAACTTACCTTCCCACCTGAATCCAATTCAATCGAGAAAACCCGTCACCCAAAAAATAACCCAAAGCAGCAATAGAACGAATGTAAAGTCGGGAGTGTCCGCCCTATCTTCCACCAGTACGGCATTTGGAACTGCTGCCAGTAATCAGCGTTTGGAACACACTGGAAATGGTCACATAGATGAGGCTTTAAGGCAACAAGCTCTTGCTGAGGAGGAAGCGGCCATGAATCAATACAAGGTTCGCCTGATTTTCCTAGAAAACAAAGAAAAATATTAAAAATTAAAAAAATTATCTAAAAATTAATTCATTTTGTGGTGGAAAATAATTTTAGTTGGATACAATGTTTGCTAAAAACCAAGAAACAAAATTAAAAACAAAAAATATTTGGAAATTTATTCATTATGTAGTGGAAAATAATTTTTGATTGATAAAAAGTATAAAAACAAAAAAAAAAATTAAAACAAAAAAAATATTAGGAAATTAATTCATCAGAACAAAATTTAAAAAAAAATTACAGCGAAATTAAAAAACAAAATTAAAATTAAAGCGATATTAAAATATAGAATTGAAATTAAAAAGAAATTTGATTTTAGGCTAAAGTTCAGTCTCCAACTGGAGGACCAAGTACAAATCCATTCCTCAGCTCGCCTACAAATAATGTCAATCAACCAATTGTAGATTTATTTGCTCCTGGGCCAACTGCTGATCTGGTAATTAACATTATTTTTTTATTTACTGTCATTAATTAAAATTCAAACTTATCTTTTTGGGAGAAAAATTGTTTTTATTTCTATAAATTTATTTTTACTATGATTATTTTTAACAGATGTTATATTTGTAAATATCAACCAATTTTTGAATGATTTCAGATTCAAGATTTAAAAAAACTTATTTATGAAGTAATTAATTATTATTATTTTCAAAAATTTTTCTAAAATTCTTTATATAAATTCAATTATTTTCAATAAAAATTCAATTATTCAATTTACTTTTTCGGAAGAATGCAATTTTTTCAAAAATATAAATAAAATTCTTGGCGATAATTGAATTACATATATTTTTTTAAATAATAAAATTCTTGACAAGAACTTTATTTACATTTTATTTTTTTTTCAATTACTGAATTAAATTTTTCCAAAGAATACAATTTTTTCAAAAACATAAATAAAGTTCTTGTCGAGAATTGAATTATTTTCAAGAATAATAAAATTCTTCACAGGAATTCAATTATTTTCCAAAATTCTAATAAAATTCTTCATGAGAATTCAATTCTTTTCAAAAATTGTTGATAAGATTCATTATAAAAATTCAATTATAATACAATTTTATTTAAATTTTTTGAAAGAATAAAATTATCAAAATATTATCAAAGTTTTTCGTAACAATTAAAATACTTTCAACAATTTTCATAAAATTAATCGCGAAAATTCAATTATTTTCATAAATTTCGATAACGTTCTTTATAAGATTTTAATTATTTTCAATATAATTTTAATTTTATTCCTCGAAAGAATTTAATTATTCTCAAAAATTTTATTCAAAATCTGAGATAGACTTCAATTATTTCCAAAAATTTTAATAAAATTCTTCACGAAAATTCAATTATTTTTATAAATAATAAAACTATTCACAGGAAATTAATTTATTTTCAAAACAATTTTACAAAAATGGAATTGAATTTTTCTGGAAAGAATTGAATTATTAAACAAAATTTTTCTTTAATTTAATTATTTTTTTCAACTTTTTTTAAAACTCTTCACATTAATTCAATTAATTTCATAAATAATAAAATTCTTTACAAGATTTTAAATATTTTCAAAAATAATAAAATTCTTCACAGGAATTTAATTTATTATTTTTATATAAAATTCTAATAAAATTGAATTGAATATATTTTTTAAAGAAGTAATTTATTCTTGAGTAATTTATTAAAATACTTAAATGAAAATACAATTTTTTTCAATAAATTTTATTAAATTTTTTTTATAACTATTCTGTTATTTTCAACAATTGTAAGTGAAAGTCTTAGAAAAAATTCAATTATTTTCAAAAATAATAATATTCTTCGCAGGAATTAAATTATTTTTAATGAAATTGAATTGAATTTATTTTTTTAAAAATTTATTTATATTCTTAAAAATGTTATTAAAATTTTTTCAAATATTTTAAGTATTTAAAAATATTTTTAATAAATTTGATTAAAAAAATTCAATTATTTTCAATGTTACAATTTTATTTCTATACTTCGATGGAATTGAATTATTTTTTTATATTTTAATCATTTTTATATATTTTAATAACTAATTTTTTTAAAGAAATTCAAATATTTTCGAAAATTTTAATAATATTCTATGACAGAATTAATAATAAAAATAAATAATGAAAGTCATTGTTTTTATTGTTGTTATTAATTTTATTGTCAATACTATTATTTATTATTATTAATATTAATTATTAAATAATAGTAATAATATAAATAATAGTAATAATAAAAAGAGAAAGTAAAAAAAGTAAAGAATTTCCTCATAATTAGAATATTAATTCTCTATTATGATTTCAGTCACAGAAAGCGTCGGACGATCTTTTGCAATTAGCAGGAAATCCATTTGCGGATATGTTTGGAGCACCAGCTCCGCAACCAGCACCAGTACAAAGTAATATGTGGATCGCCAACGGTAATGGTAAATAAATCTAAATTTATATTATAATATTATTTTTTTGGTTGCCTGTAAATATTTTTATTTTCAAAAATTTTCTTTTCTTTTCTTTATTGCTAGGGGTTAAAAAATATTGTACTATTATTCATTAAAATTTTTTTTTGATTTTTATGCACGCTTTTTATAGAAATTTTTTTATTGTAGGTTTCACCGCCGCGCTACCACCATCTAATAACTTTGTTACAGATAACAACTTTTCGTCTGTTTTTGGAAATCAAGATCAACAACCAGGTAAGCTCGCAATATCATTATAATTAATAAAAAATTACCCGAAGAAAATTCTGGATTCTACTTTTTACTATAGAAACTATTTTTCCAAACAGATGAGGTAAAGGTTTCTCAAAGTCCTTTATTTTTAGAAATAATATCATCTTTCATTCTCTCGTTAAAAAAAGAATTTCATATAAATCATTCTAGTTTCATTGTTAATGTCATAATTTTAAATTCTTTTTTTTTTTAATTAAAATTTTTTTTTTAATTTTTTATTGTTAAAATAAAAATCTTTACAATAAGTCAAGATTTTTTTTTGTACAATTAGTTTTTGAATGAAATGGGAATGGAATTTGATAAATTTTTTTTCTATTCAATGAGTCATTCATGCCTTTACCATCTGATTCATCAAAAAATATTTTTCAATATCGCTTTTTGAATATTCTCAATGCACTTTCATGAAAATCATTTTAGTATTTTAAGTCACTTCTTTCTTGATTCATAGAGAAAAAATGGCTGCATTTTAGTTTTAAAGTAGATTCCATTGAAAAATTGGGGAAAAAAAATAAATTCTAATGGTCAGTAGACAATATAACATTTTAAACTTGTACTTTATTTTATGTTGTATAATTGTTTTTGTTTTGATTAATATTTGTTTATTCTATTAGACATAAACCATTTTCTTTTTAACACTATTCTTCGATTAACATTTATTCTTTTCACACACTATTTTTTCTAATATTCGAGAATATTTATTTCATGTAACACTATTGTTTCATTATACATTTGGTGTAAATTAGTAAAAAAAAAAAAAAACAAGACTAATTACTTAGAAAAACACAAGAGGGTAGCTTAAAATTGTGGAGAAGAAGAGTTGTTGATTTTTTTCTGTTTTTATACTCTGTAAAATTATTCAAGTTCGAACAATTTTGGTTTTCATTGAAAAAAATTATAAATTAAATAAATTTGATTTATAATTTTTTTTAAGCAAAGAAAGTTTAGTTTCCTAAAAATTTTTTGCTTAAAGAAAAAAATTTTGACAATTGCTAAAACTTTAACGATTATAGTGTCCGACCAAACATTTACTTGTACTACTAATATATTTCTAAAATCGTAACGTCTGACTTAAAACTGACTGCTGCTACTACTAATATTACTAAAGTTAAAAAACGTTTTGTCCGACCCATACTATTTTGTACTACTGGGATGTAAATTAACTAAAAATTTAAAGTTTTGTTTAACTTGAGATTTTTTCCGTCTGACTGCAAAAGAACTTTATCACTGCAATAAAAATTCAGTTAGTACGTCTGACTAGAAATGAATCTACTAACTTATAATGGTAGCACTATTTTTATTATTTATTGTATAGCATAATATTTATTGCTAATGAATTAATTAAAGCAATTATAGTCTGACTAAAAATGACCTTTACTACTTATACATAAATAATGACCTTCTGTCTGACTGTAAACTAACCGTACTGTTATTCTAAAAACACAAATCTTTTGTCTGGTTTTAAATGACTTTTACTACTGAAAACTGCCTTTACTACTGTTTGACCAAATATTTACTTGCACTACTTACAAAAATTTCTAAACTAGTAATGTCTGACTATAAACTAACTTTACTACTGTTTTTAAAAATACTAGACTTTAATCTGATTTGAAATGATTTTTTCTCTTGATAAGTGGAAAAAACGTTCAAGTCTGACTGAAAATAATCTGTACTACTTGTACAAAAATTAAGTAATTATGTCAGACTAAAATTACTCTCTAAATCTGAATTAGTAGTTTTGTACTTTTCTACTAATTAATAGTAGAAAACTACTAATTTAAATTTAGAGATTAATTTTGGAGCTTAAAAAAAATGTAATTCTAGTCTGAGTAAAAATGATTCACACTACTTATACTTATAATTTTAGCTCTTAAAAAAAATACAAATCTAGTCTGACTAAAAATGATTCACACTACTTAAGCAAAGCTGATGTCTCTCTGTCTGACTACAAACTATCTATTCTACTGTCTGACCAGATATTTACTTGTATCACTGATACACATTTTTAAAATTCTAATGTCTGACTGCAAACTTATTTTACTACTGTTTATGAAAATGAAAATGCTTTGTCTAGTTTTAAATGAGTTTTGTTACTGATAAGTAAAAAATTACTTTTGTCTGACTGAAAATGATCTTTATCACTGTGACAAAAATTCAGTCATATTAAGTCTGCCTAATTCTTTAACTTTAAATTAACTATAAATTAACTTTAAATTAAATTAAATTAAATCTCTATATAAATAATAAAATTCTTCACTGATATTCAATTATTTTACGAAATTTTAATCAAATTTTTGTCAAAATTTCAATTATTTTCAATAGTTTTCTAAAATTCAATGATTTTTAATATCTACTATTTCAATAAAATTTACCAAAAGAATTCCATTATTAAAAAAAAATTTGAAAAAAATTCTACGCAAACATTCAATTATTTTCATAAATAATTATAATTAGATGTAGTCTTTTAGTTTCGACTTGTGGCTGAATATATCATATGTAAGGTGTAAGCAATAGTTAAGAAATAGAAACTATTGATATATAGATAGATAAGCAATAGATAAGAAACTATTGCTTACACCTTACATATGATATTTTCATAAATAATAAAAATTTTTACAGAAATTTAATTATTTACAAATTTTTTTTATAAATTTCTTCGCAATAATTCAGTGATTTTCATAAATAGTAACATTTTTACAGAGATTCAATTATTTTTATAAATAATAAAATTCTTTTAGGAATTCAAATATTTTCATAAATAATAAAACTCATTGCGGAATTTCAATTATTTTTAATGCAATTTTAATCGTTGATTAACATTTTTAATGAGAATTAAATTTCAAGAAACCTTAAATTAATAAAATATTTATTTTTGTATTTAAATAATTGCAAATTCTCGTGGAATTTACTAATAAAAATGGTTTCAAAAATAAATTTCAGTTAAAATTTTAGATTATAATTAAATATTAAAAGCATTATAACGCGGATTTTTAGAAATAATTAAATTTTGAAAAAGTTTTAATAACTAAAATCATTGAAATTCTTAATTTTTCATATTTTTGACAAACAATTCTGTAGAGTTAATTCTTTTTGAAAGTTTAATAGGATTTTTATTGAAATTATTCGAAGTTTTTATTTTTCAATATAATATTTAATTGCAGAATTTCCGAATAATTGAAATTTTGTAAAACTGAATTGTAAACGAATGAATTTGGGAAATTCTCATAAAACTCATCGCAGCGTTTCAATTATTTTTAATAGAATTTTAATCGAATTTCTCGAAAAAAGTAATTATTCTTAAAAATTTTAATGAAATTCGACAAAAGAATTCAATTATTATTTAAAAATTTGTCACTAAACATTTTTTATGAGAATTGAATTCTGAGAAATATTCAATTATTCAATAAATTATTTACTTTTGCATTTAAATAATTAAATTATTGTAGAATTTTCTAATAAAAATTGATTTTTATGAAATAAAAATGAATGTCAGTTAAAATTTTAGATTATAATTGAATATTAAAAGCAATATAACGTGAATTTTTAGAAATAATTGAAATTAATTTTTTTGAAAAAGTTTAATTGAATTTTCTTTTATGAATATAAAAGAAAATTCAATTTAACTTTTTAAAAAAAATTAAAGTTTTTATTTTCTAATATATGCATTTAATTAAAGATTTTAGGAATGATTGAAATTTCGTGAAATTGAATATTGTAAACAAATGGATTTGAAAATTGCCAAAGAACTAACTTTTTCGAAAATTATTAAAAATAATAGATATAAAGTAAAATTGTAGTTAAAAATGTTTTGAAAATAATAATTGAATTGAAATTATGGAAATAATTTTGAAGAAGTTCAATATTCTTATAATATAAAATAATGATTTTATTACTTGGTCATCCTTAATTATTATAAAATATGAAGAAATCGATCACTCCGAGTCGAATCACTCCGAACTCAGAGTTATCGATATCTTCATGTTTTATGGTTATAAAAAAATTTAATGAACTAAAATTTCATTCATTGTTAAATATAACACCAAAATTGATTATTTTAATCTTTTTTTTGGTGTTAATTTAATCTGCAATACTTTTTAATACCTCACGATTTACTGTGTTACTACTGTTTTCAAAAATACAAATCTGACTGACTATAAACAATGTTTACTACTGTTTTCAAAATTACTCACTTTCAGTACGGTTTTAAATGACTTTTACTACTGATAAGTAGAAACAACTGATTTCAAAAGATTTTTACTACTTTCAAGTAAAAAATAGTTTCTGTCTGACTGAAAATGTTTTGACCTTTACTACTGCTGATGAAAAAGGAGATAAAGTGAGTCTGACTTAAAACGATCCTGAACTACTTATACCTAATATTCGAATGGCCCTTTGGGTTGGAGAATAATTTTACAGAGTTAAACAGAAAAAAAAATTGTCACTTCTCTCGGCAAAATTAAAAAAAAAAAAAAGAAATATCGCATTTTGCCTCTTTAACCTGACTGATCTATCGACTAATCGTGCATCTTGGTCACTTTTTATGCAAGCTGCTGTCTCTGGAACAGCCGTACCTAATCCCTTCATGTCCGACTATCCTGCTTCCGGTCCTCAAGCTACGAACGCAGCAGCACTTGGCATGTTTGACCAAGGTGCAACTGCCCCACCTGGCAGCGGTGATAATCAACCGCAAGGTGGAGACCTATTCAGTGCTGGCGGCCAGGCAGATCTCTTTGGAAGCGACACAGCAATGCTCAGCGCCAATGATGGGAGTGAAGTTGACATTGCTACCGTCCCACCACAACCACCACCGGGAGCAATGTCAGCGTCATCTCTTACCACTGGCAAGTCCACTGCTACGCCGCCTCCCAGACCACCGCCTCCCGCGTCAGCTGCTAATGGTACACCACGTGCAATGTCTCCGGCAGTTGGCGGGACTTCACCTGGTAGGCCAGCAACAGCTGCACCTGCCGGATCCCTGACATCATCGCCAGCAGCATCAGCGGCAACAGCAGCAGCGGCGGCGGCGGCGGCAGTGAACCAAAATAAAAGTGCATTCGACGACCTGAACGACAGTATTCGTATGGCACTGGGTGGGTCTCCATCTCGTCCAGCTCCCATTGCCCAGCAGGTCCCCCCCGCTCAATCCGCGCAGCAACCTGTACAACAGCAGGGATTTGCCATGTTTGATATGGGAGGGAGTATGGGGGGCGCTGGACAGCCTATGATGGCAGGTGCGCCCATGGTTGGTTATGGAGTACCACCTTCTTCCCAAACCCAAGTTCCTGTGGGATACGGCTCCCCGTCAAAGCAGCCTATGTCAGGTGAAGGGATTGAAAAAAAAGAACAAATTCACGCTTCTGCTGCATGCAAGCACTATTGCTAATTACTCTTTCTTCTTCTTCTTCTTCTTCTTCTTTCTTTTATTCTTCATCTTTTCTCATCTCGATCACGTTTTCACGTTCTACATTTAATAATATGGTTGTTTTGTCTTTTATTAGCCTTCACGGAGAGAAAGGAATTGTTAAATCTACTAGCGGATTGTCGATATAGAACTAGCAAATCTGATTTATCGTTGCGACAATTATTTTTGTTCTCTAAACAAATTAATTGTTATCACAACAATCTCGAGTTGTTAGGAGAACCGAAAAACTGTTTCAACAACAAAATCAGATTTGCTAGTTCTATATTGACAATCCGCTAGTAGATTTAACAATTCCTTTTTCTCCGTGTTATTGTACGGTAATTGCACTAGTTAAAGAATTGACATCAGTAAAATAACAATAAAAACTGAGTGTAAAAATCGTTTTCTGCTTTTAAAACATATTTTTTGACTGGGCTTTAAAAATACCTTAAAACTAGACAGCAGGGTTGCCACGCAACATGGAAAATCTGGAAATGTCAGGGAATTTTGATCGGAATCCTGGAAAATTGTTGATTTCTAAAGTTATTGTGTTTATTCTTATGAAATCTAATTATCGAAAGAGAAAAGTTCATAAACTATTAAATTATCGCGAATTCTAATATAAAACCAATTTTTTTTATTCTTGTCAATAATTTCTGTTTAAATAACTTCATTCTTGAACAATCAGGGTGTCTAGTATTTTCGTTCAACAAAATTCCCGGTTATGTCCAAATTTTTTCCCGGTTTTTTTCTCATCAAATTTAAATTTAAATTTGATTTCGAAAATAAATAAATCTTTAAATTTTTTTAATTTTTCAAAAATAATCTTGTCTCTTTATAATTATAATTGAAAATTTGATTTTTTAATTTTATTAAAATTATATTGATAATAATTGAATTTCTGCAAAAAAATTTCACTATTTATAAAAACAATTGAATCCTTCCAAAGAATGCTATTATTTATGAAAATAATTTAATTCTTGTGAAGAATTTTATTAAAATTTTTGAAAATAATAATCATTAATAATTAATTATTTACTTAATAAGTAATAAACATTTAATCAGAAATTTAAATTATAAAAATTTAAGAGAAGTTTAATAATATTTTTAGAAGCAAAAAATTGATTTAAAACTGTAAGAGGGACTTTAAATTTTAAAAATTAAATTATAATTACGGTCACTAACTTCCCTTGATTATTTTCAAAAAATTTAAATAAAATTCTTTAAAAGAATTCAATTATTTTTCAAAAAATGTAAACAAATTTAAATTATTTAAAAAAGTTTCAATTATTTGTTTAGAAAAATTCAATTATCTTGAAACAATAGAATTAAAAAATTAAAACAATCTTATTTTTCAGAATTAAAAAAAAAATTTGCGAAAGTTCAATTTTATTAAACAATTTTAAGTATGTATATTTTTTTAAATTAACTAATAAAAATTTTAATTATTAATCTTCGCAGTAAGAAACATGAATACATTAGAATTTAACTCTTTATAATATTCAATTATTAATCAATTATTAAATTCAAATACTTTGAAAATTCTATTTGTTAAAAAGTTTCTAATGAAATTCTTTAACAAATTTAATTACATATTTTCAGTCGAATTGATTTTTTACTATCAAATTAATAATTTTTAACAAACTTAAATTTAGAGAACAGTATAAATACCTATAAAAATATTTCTATTAACTCCATATTTTTTAAAAAATTTATTTACATAATATGTTTGAATTGGTGACTGATTTTCTACTATCAAATTAATTATTTTTAACTAACTGAAATTTAGAGAACAGTATAAATACCTATAAAAATTGAAATAAAAAGTGATTTTTTAAAAACAAATTAAAATAATAAAACTTTTTTAATTTTGGTAAAAAAATTCCCGGTTTAGTATATAATTCCCGGTTTTCCCGGTCAAATAAAATTCCCGGTTATTTCCTGGTTTTCCCGGAATTCCCGGTTAGTAGACACCCTGAACAACTACCACACTGAAAAAAATGTAGGGGAAAGGCTTGCAGGTTGCCATACCTAAACTTTTTTGCTCATAACTCATTAAAAAAAAAAATAATAATAATAATCGAAAAATTAAACTTTTACATCAATTTTTAAAAATGATGTAAAATCAACGCTTCGAAATTTAGGCTTGCAGGTTGAACCACCTTGAAAAATTGATAATAATATGGAACTGCAATAAATTTATTATTATTTCACTTACATTTAATGTTTCTAAACATAATAATTTAAATTTAAATTTTTTAAACAATTTATTAGTAAATAAATTTTTTTTTAAATAATAAATATTTTTGTAAAAAAAAATTTTTTTCAATTGAGAATCAAACAAAACAATATCAGTCGCGTTTTTAATTATGGCATTTCTACAATCAAAAAGAACGCAAGTTGGACAACCTGAAAGACTTTTCCCTATTTGATTCAAATAACAAATTACTATTAGTTTATCAATTAAAAATTTAATTGAATCAAATAATATTTAATTGATAATAGTCCATTAATCGCGGTTATTTGAATCAAATAAAATTTTTTTTCAGTGCATAAAATTATAATGTTTATAAATTATTTAATGAATAATTTTATTAAAATGTTTCAAAATTAATTGAATTTTTAAAAGAGTTAAGTTTACAATTTTCATAAATAGATCAATTTCGAAAGGTTTTAAATTGAAATTTTATAAAATTTTAATTATCAATTAATTTAATTAGAAATTTTAAACAACTAAAATTTTTGAAAAATTTTAATAATTCAAACTCTTTTGAAGTTACGAATGAATGCAGAAATTCAATTATTTTCAAAAATAATAAAATTCTTCGCAGAAATTCAATTGTGTTCAAAAGATTTTTTTAATTCTTGTCAAAATTTCAATTAATTTTATAAATAATAAAATTCTTCTTAAAAATTCGAATATTTTAATAAAATTCTTGTCAAAATTTCAATTATTTTAAAAAATTTTCCTCAATTCAATGATTTTCAATATTTACTATATTTTACATAATATAATTTTCCAAAAGAATTCAATTATTAACAAATTTTTTTTATTTATTTCTTTATCATTCAATTGTTTTCATAAATAATAAAATTTTTACAGGGATTCAATTATTTTCGGAAATAATAAAACTCTTTTTAGGAATTCAATTATTTTTATAAATAATAAAATTCTTTTTAGAAATTCAATTATTTTCATAAATATTAAAACTGATCGCTGAATTTTAATTATTACTTTGGGCATTACTTTTTGATTCTGATTGTGCTTTAAATATATCATTATATTATTATTATTGTTATTGTTATTGTTATTGTTATTATTAAATGTTGACGTACTTTTCATTGTAGTTCTAGTTGATAGATTTTTATTGCACATTATTTGGAAACAAAATGATTTTTGATTTATTTACTCTTTCATAGAAATAGTTAAAAATATTTTTTTAACCAGCCAAACAGATTTTTAATTAGTGAAATTTTTTATCAATTAGTGAAAAATATTTTAGTCTATAGTTTCTTAATTTGTCTAAATTTAGAATATAATAACCGCAATTTTTTTTCTGTATTTTATTTATTCAATACTTGAAAAAACAAATTTATAATAAAGTTCAGTAGTAAAGACCATGTTTAGTCAGACAAATACATTTCTTTTTAGAGGTTTAATAGTTTTATTGGGACAGAACTTTTTTTTTAATAATTACAAATAGTTTTTTAGTTTAACACTAGTATTAATAGTTTCAGTCAGATAGAAATGTAAATAAAGTTAAGATCTTAAGTAGAAAAGATTAATTTTAGTCAGACAAGTATATTTATAAATTTCTGCAAGTTCAGTGTAAGTAGTAAGGAATAATTTTAGTCAGACAAGAAACTTTAAATGTTAAATAAAATAAATTAGAGAAGTTAATTCATTTTCTATGTTATCAGTAGTAGAGTTCGATTTCGGTCAGACAATACATTTCAAGTACTTGTGAAATTTTTATCAGCTTAGTAATAGACGTTTTTGGTGAGACAACTTTTTAAATATATTAATTTAAATAAGATCTACGATTATAAAAAGACAAATTTAATAAAAAAAATGTAGTTACAGTAGTTTACGAATTTTATTTTACCGCTTGTAGTTTAGAGAAAACTACTTTGTATTTCTGTTGTAAAAAGTAGTTTTGAGTGTAAAAAGTAGTGAGACTATACACGATTTTACATCGTGTAGAAATTCCATCCTAAATTTTATTTTTTCATATACCTTTCTTTTTTTGATAATTTTGGTCCACATATTTTTTTCTTTGTTTTTTAAAAATGTTGATCAGGTTTTAATTTGGCCATTGTAGACGCGCTTAAGTCAATGAAGGATGTTGTGTGTCACAATTTTTATTCATGAAATTAATAAAAATTGTAATAAATAAATTTCCAGGTGCTCAGCAACCGAACGCGGCTGCAAGTGGAAAAGTTTTAACAGGAGATTTAGATAGTAGTCTTGCTAGTCTTGCGGAAAATCTTTCCATTAATAAGAGTGCACAGCAACAAGTCAAGTAAGATTTATATAAAAATTTTTTATTGTCTTATTATTTTTTTAAGTGCACCCAGAGGAAAATTTTTCCTTTTTAAGTGCACCCAGAGAAAAATTTTGTCTCTTTATGTGCACCTAGAGGAAAATTTTATTTGAACCAAATAATTAAATAATTAAAAATTTTAATTATAATTAAAATTACAATTAAAAATTTAAAATATTTACAGAGGAATGCAGTGGAACTCTCCTAAAAATACTGCAAAAGCAGGACAGGCCGGATGGACGCCACAACCAATGGCAGCTACGACTGGAGCAGGATATCGTCCAATGGTAAATACGATTTAATTTTTTCATCTTAATGAGAATAAATTTTTTACGTTTAGCATGTTTTTATTTTACTTCTAAATGTACATTATACAATTAGCTTTCACTAATGACCTTTTAAATATGCTTTTACAAAAAATCACTGAATTTAGTGATTCTCTCCTGGTGGTTAATGACACAAGTTATTTCAGTGAAATTGAAAAATTGAATATGAAAATTCACAATATTTTGTATATATGAATATACACAATAATGTAACGAATATAATTAATTAATAATTCACAATAGAACAATTATTTATCACACGCTTAAATTTTAACACTTGCTTACCACTCAAGGAACCTTTAGACCCTGTCTTCGTTTCTTTTGCACAAAGATTTTTCAGATTATTTAAAATGTTTATTTAATATTAAGTTACTAATTATTAATTAGTAAATTAATTAATTATTAATTATTAACTTAAATATTATTAATTATTAACTTAAATATTATCTTTTTAAAAATCATTTTTTTGCAAAAGCCTCTAAAGTAATTTTTTCTTATAATAATATATCAGTAGAAAAATCGGTTAAAATCTCAGCCCTCAATGTCAAAATGTATGAATAAAAAAATAAAATAAATAAAATTGTCATTTTCAAAGTGGTAAGTAAGGGTTAATTTAGATATAAATAGTACCTAGGATTTAGAAATTATCAAGACTAGTGTTTACATATCACCAAAAATAAATATAGAATTTAGTTAAAATTAGCATTTTTAGTCAAAATTCAGCAAAAAAATTATATTTTCACCAAAAAAAAAAAAATTGGCAGTCTTAGTTTTTTTTGTTATGCATGCATGGCATTTGGCATGTTACTGGATGTTACAGGGTCAAGGAATGATGCAACTTCCTCCAACAACCACATTGGGATATCCCTCTCAAACCACAGCACTGGTGAGTTTTTTTTCCAATTGCACTGAAATGTATATATTTGTATTTTTTTGTAACCTTCAAAAAAACAAAAATTTTAACACCCTTAAATCTGTTGAAAATATTTTTCTTAATATTATTGTACAGTTCACACAGCTTTTGCACTAATAATTTTTTTCCTAGTTTGCATATAATGTTACAAAAAAATTTTTATATTTTTGTAAATATTTTCTGATTTATGTTTTGAAATTAAATAAATTTAAATTCGATGAGAAAAAAAACCGGGAAAAATTAGGACAAAGCCGGGAAATAACCGGAAATTTTATTGAACGAAAATAGTATAGACACCTTGTTTTTTTAATATTTAGAAAAATTAATTTTTTTTTTTACTTTTTTGTATTAACTTTAAACAGTTAACAATTGAGACCAAGTTTAATGATATAGTGAAGGCATTGTAGATTTTATTGTTGGAAATATTTTTCAACTTATGGCTTAAAAATAATTTTCTCCCTTACGAGTATAGTAGAAATCCGAAAAGTTTAGTAAGTGAATATTTTTTTAGGATTTAATGACAAATTGAAAAAAAATTTGAGAAATGTATATATAGTAAGAAAAAAAAATTAATTATCGTTTACGCTTCACTCACATGTGTGTTAGCTAATTTATTATTATTATCAACTGCTTTTTGTTACATACGCTTTGGCATTTTTACTGAAAAGTCATTTTCCACCATTAAGCATCCGATATTTGTGTATAGTAAAAATATTTTTAATCTACATCCAATGCACAACTCTATTGTAAATTTTACTGGTATTTTTTTTTTAAATACATAAGTAAACTTTTTGAATTTTTTGTCTTCCAAAATATAAATATTATTTAGAGACAAAAAAATTTAGATATCTCTTTAAAACTGTATCAGTGAAAATTGACTGATATTTCTGTAATTTTTAACTGATATTCAGTGAAAATGATTAAAAAAAAAATTCAATTATTGGAAACATGACAATAGTCAGTAATTTTTAGTAAAATTTCAGTGTTCTTTAGTAGATAAGAATTTTACTGATTCAGATTTAGAGAGTGTTCACTAGGATCAAATAATTAAACTATTTTGTAATAAAGGGCCTAAATTTAAACTAATATTATAATTAATTAAAATTTTAATTAATTATACACTGTAGAAAAAAGGTTTTAATTTAGAGCTGATATCGGTACTATAATAGAACAAAATTACGATTTAGTATCAAAATTGGTACTAACTTAGTACTAAGTACTTTTCTTTTTACGGTTTAATTAATAATTTAATAATTAATATTATAATGAATTGTTTAATAATTGAATAATTAATATTATAATGAATTGTTTAATAATTGAATAATTAATATTATAATTAATTAATAATTGAATTGAATATCATAATTAATTAATTAATAATTGAATTGAATATCATAATTAATTAATTAATAATTGAATTGAATACCATAATTAATTAATTAATTAATAATTGAATTGAATATCATAATTAATTAATTAATTAATAATCGAATTGAATATCATAATAAAATATCAAATAATCGAATATTTTCTTTTATTGTCTACGTTCAAAGGAAGAGGAAACTATGAGCAACTGAAGAAATTGTTGTCAGGCAATTTTTTTTCCATTTTTTTTTTGTTTGTAAAAATTGTAAATAGTTTTTTTTTTAAAGTTCCTTTGGTCTCTGGTTTGTGTAGGGTATGCAGGGAATGCCTGTGGGCATGCAAGGTATGAGACCAATGATGGGTGCAATGCCTGGTGCCCCAGCCGCGGGTAGCGGAATGATGGTTGCTGGAGGAGCAGCTCCTATGATGATGGGAGCAAACCCAGTTATGGGTGCTCCTCTCCAACAACAAACTCCTCAACCCGCCACTGCTCAACCACAAAATAATGCAGTTCAACTCGACCCCTTTGGTGCTCTGTGAGGGGATTAGGTATCTATCTAATTCCTAAATTGGTTTTCCATTTTCTGTCCCATTCGAAAATTTAGAAATGTTTTTTTTCACTTTATAATTGCTTTTTAAAAAATTTCCTCGACAGATATTTTATCGAAAAATGGAGATTAATTTTCTAGGGATATAAAAATAGTATGTTTATAAATAATAAACGTGGGTCAGTACGAATAGATGAAAGCGTCAGAGCGATAGAAAGAGACAGAGTGCACCTAACGTCCCCTTTTCTCTCTCCGCAGAGACGCATGCGCATTAAAAAGGCGCGTTTTTCAAGCAATGTACAAACTTAACTTTTCGAATATAACTCATTATGTTTATTAACAATTTTGTTAAATTAACAATAAATTAATAATTTATAAATTAACAATAAATTAATAATTTATAAATTAACAATTTTTGAATATGTAAATAATAAACAAGCCTATTTAGGCTTTTTATTTATTTATAAACAATTAATAAAATGGGCTTGCTCCGTTTATAAATAAATAATTATTTATAAACGGAGCAAGCCCGTTAAATATTCAAAAGGAAGAAGAAAATTTTGAAGAACCTTTTTTTCTAATTAAACATTTTTTATTTGTTTACTAATAAAAAAGTAAATAATTATTCCAAGAAATAAAAGAAGGTAATAAAATTGTATAAAAACGGACATTTTTTATAAAAAATTATTTTATTTCTTAGAAATATGATTTTGAGGTTAGGAATATACGAATATTAAACATAATATTTAGCGCATGCGTAAAGAAACAAAGACAAAAGAGGGGACGTTAGGTACACTAGTTAACTCTTTCTATCGACCTGATGCGATTTCAGGCCTCTTGTATCCTCTATTTTTCTATCTCTATGATTAATTTACTCTAATTTTCACAATTACAATTTCTATTACAAAAGAAAATAATTTTTCAATTTTTTTTTAACTGGAAATATTTCCTTAATAATAAATATTGTTTTCTTTCGTTATAAAAAAGATTTTTTACAAAAGAAAATAATTTTTTAATTCTTTTTAACTAAAAATATTCCTTTAATAGTAAATATTTCTTTGTTTCGTAATAAAAAACAATTTTTTACAAGAAGATTATTTTTTAATTCTTTTTAACTGGAAATATTTTTAAAACATTTTTTTCTTTCCTTAAAACAAATTGTTTATAAAAGAAAATGATTTTTTCATTCATTTTAACTGGAAATATTCCTGTAATAAAATATTTTAATTCTTTTTAATTGGAAATGTTTTATAAATAGTAAATATTTCAAGAGTGATTGATTCCTCAATTTTGAAGGTGTTAGACAATTTTTTAATACTCACTTTGTACAGATTACACATAATTAACCACATGTTTTCATTGTCGTAACACTTTTGGTGATTGAGAGTAAAATTTAATTAAATATACAATTATAATTAATTTGAAAATATGTTAATATTGTTTATTAATACAATTTAAAATTTGCTGGTGACTAAAATACTCTTCTCTGTATTGAAAAGTAAACTTAGATTTTCTTTTACTAATTTACGAATTAAAATTAATAATAATACTTTTTGTAACTATTATTTTTTCTTTTCTTACAAATTCCTTTCTTATATTCATGTTTTATTTGATTTATTTATTATTTATTTATTTAAAAATATTTAAATTTATAAAATCAATTAAGGGGAGTTTGCCTATATTTTTAATTATATCAAGAAAATAATTTAAATCTGCCATAAATTTATTTTTACAGCAATTTTTGTTAGAAAAATTTAACAGTCATAAAATAAAATCGGTCAGAATAAATTTTAAGCCTTTTTGGATTTTTATTTTTCTTAAAAATTGGTAGATTTTAAAAACTATCTGTAACATCGTAGAAATTATGTTTTTGTGTTTTCAAAAAAATTGACGAATGAAAAAATTTATTTTTACTATTTTTTAAGTATTTTTTTTTAAAGAAAAAACGTTTTTAGGGTGCAAATACTGAAAAATACCATTGTTAATCAATTTTTTTATTTCGAAATTCATTTGTTTATTTTTTCTAACTAATTTCAAATTATAACTTTTTGAAATAAAAAATATAATTTACAAAAAAATTGTGACAAAAAAAAATCAAAAATTCAATAGTCAGAAAATATTGATAAAAAATAAATTTGTTATTAATTTTTTTATTTGAAAATTCATTTACTTATATTTCTAACTAATTCCAGATAATAATTTTTCTATACAAAAATAAATATAACAAAATCATGATAAAATTGTAATTTCGAATTAGTTAGAAAAATAAATAAATGAATTTTCAAATAAAAAAATTCAAAAAAAATGTTATTTTTTAGCACTTTTCACCTACAAACGTTTTTTTCAAAAAAAAAATATTTCAAGAATAGTAAAAATTAATTTTCTCATTCGGCAATTTTTTTGTTGATACAAAATCACATTTTTTGGAAAATTGCGTATGGATTTCAAAATCTACTAATTTTTGAAAAAAAGAATATAAAAATTCAAAAATAGGGTCAAAATATTTTCTAACCATTGAATTCCTCTAAAAAAAATTACTATAAAAACAATTTTATGGAACATTTAAATTATTTTCTTGATTACTTAAAAAATATCAGTGAACCTTTTCCTTAATAATATTTATGTCTAAATTTATAAAATCAATTACAAATCAATTTAAAAATTTGAATATTAATGTAAAAACTATAAAATTAAATTTTTTAATTTTATAAACTAAATAAAATTTAGAACATAATTTACAGTTAAATAATAATAAATTTAATAATTCAGAGTCAAATTAATTTCTCTAAATAACAAAATATTTTACCAAAAAAAAAATTTACATAAAAGTATTTTATTATTTCAGGACTTCAATTGGCACTGAGAGGACGGAGTATTGTGCTTGTAAATATTGTGTAATATGCCTAAAAATCGGTCCCACTTTTTTTTTAACATTATCTTCATCGTCGAACATTTTATTTGTCCCATTTTCTCTAATTTCATTTTTTTCATTTTTAATTGAAAAAATTATTTCCACCCTCTGTGAATATGGCCAAGACTTATAATAATTCCATCTTCTGTTCACCTGATGATGATGATGATGATGATGATGATATGTTCGAGTTGGTGCATCGCTGATATCTCTACTATTATTGGCCCTGCCTTAAATTTTACGTAGCTAATGTATAAAAAAAATTGTATAAGATGGCCCATAGTGCTTATATATAGGAATTATATGAGTGCATTGCATACAATTTTTGTTTACAATGACTAAAGTAATTTTGTGATGAAAATTTTTTTTTTAACTAGTTTTTCTCTGTAGATATTGATTTATTTTAATATTCTGATTTTTACAAAAAAAAAGTTTTTATGATTTTTATACAATTCAATCTTTTTTCAGTAAAATATCAATGACTTGAAAAATTTTTTGTTTAGCAAATAATTTACAAATTTTTACTATTTTCAATATGGAATATTTTCCGAAAAGTGTTTTCAAAAAATACGATATTTTTAAATATTTGAAAATATTTTTGAATTATTTTTAATTCGAAAATAAAGAATAAAAATTATTTCTAATTTTTTAAAAATATATTTTGTTAAATCTTTGAAAATCTCTTTAAAAATATCAAATATTAATATTTTTAAAGAACTCTAAAACTTTATAATATAAAATATTTCACTTTGCCGGTAAATTTTCAAATTTTCTGCACAATCCAGTGTTATTCGAAAAATTATCTTTTATACAAAAAAACAAAATCAACATCACAATTTTTCTAAACACTAAATAATTTCTCGTATCTTGGCCAATTCATTGCTTTTTATATATAAAAATATATGTGAAAAAAAAAGAATTTTAAAAAAGGGATTGCTTTTTTTTGAAAAAAAAAGCTGAAAAAAACCGAATGCTTTTTATGAAAAAGTAATTAATTATAAACGATTGCTTACTAAAAGTAAATTTTTAAAAAGGCGATTCAAATTATACTATAATACAATTTATTGCATCTGAATTGTTGTACATTATTTTATATTCAGTGCGTTATGAAATTTATTTTTTGTTCGTCCAAATAAATATATTATGGCAAATTATCGAATAAAAAAAAGTTATTCTTTTTTTTGTTAAAGTATTAAATCTTAACTTTAATAGATTATTGTTGTAATCGTATGCAAAGTGTAAAATTATTACATATTATATATATAAAAAAAAATAGGTAAAAGAAATTAATAGGTGGTTCCCCATTAATGTTCTTTCACTGTATTGTTCTGATGTATCTGAATTAGGTAGACATTAATTAAAATCATGATGTAAAGAAATTAAGACTATGATACTCAGATAATAATATTAATAATAATAAATAAATAAATAATAATTATAATTATAAATGTAATATGATTCTATGATATCGTAAAATATTGATATAGTTATATATATATAATATTATGCTGTTGCAAAGTGTACTAAATTTTTCTCTCCTTTTACCAAGAGCAAAACAATGTCAATTCATTCATTACTTTTTTTAGTGAAAGATTTAAAAAATTGATTTTATTAATTAATTATTAATTAATTGTTACTAAATACTAATCAATAATTTTTTTAACCATTTGCGATTTTAATAACAGTGATTAAACATAAAAATTCATTAATATTAAAAATATTTCATCGTTTCTTAAAGAATAATTAAAGAGCATAAATTTATTTTCAATTTAGCAAAGAAAAAATTGAGTGTTCTTGGTTAAAAAAGAGAAGAAAACAAAGCGTTGAGTATTCGCCATGTACAGTGTGAAAATAGAAATTGTGAATCATTGATGTAATGTGCAGGAGATGAGGAACTTTTCATTCATTTTTTTTCTGTCTAAATTTTTTCTTTTCTTTAGTATTTTTTTTGTAATTAATTTTTATTCCCATTTTTTATTTAAAAGTCGTGTGCAATTTGTTTTTCTTAAATTTTCATTTAGGTGTAGTTTCAATTGTCAATAATTAAAAATCTAGTTGTTAATGAAACGACCACTGATTATTTTTTTTTTGTTATCTAAGTCATCAGCTTTGTTTTTGATAAAAAAAAAATGTAATAATTGAAGCGAATCTGATTCAGAGAAAAAAAAATGTAGTTTTAAATATTTTTCTTAGAGAAAATATTTCTTTTATTTCTTTGTTGCCACAAAAATTTTATTTCGTTTTTCGTTGATTTACAGATATGAATTTTGATTTATTCCAAAATTTTTTGTTTTTATAAAATTCCCTAGCTTTTCCCTGACTCTTTGGCAACTCTTGTAATAAATTGTTGCTGTTTTAAGCATAATTTTAAAAAAAAATTAATAATAATAATTTTATCAAGTCTACTAATTTTAATAATTTTAATTATATGGATAGAAAAATAAAACCGGATTTAGTTATTTAATATTCAGAATATAATAGAAACAAATATTTTTAGTAGATATTTTTTACTTGTTCCTAAAATAAATAGAAACAGTAATTATTCATTAAATTTATTTATAGAATAATAATTTATAGTAGAAATTTATTTCTTTGTAGAAAAATGTTTTTTTTTTGGGTACATATTTCGCAAAATAATTTTATTTTCTAATTGTATAAATTATCAAAATTTTAGTTTCTTTCTGAATTGTAAAAATGGAATTTAATTTTATTATAAAGATTGATTCGTTCTGTGATAGGAATGATGTTGTCGATTGACACTTTTTTTATGTTAAAGGATTATACTTCGCATTAAAAAAAATATTTAATTATTAAATTATTATTATTTAGGAATCTTCGGTAGCATAAATTAAAAATTCTATTTCTATGACCAAAATAAAAAAAAATGTGACCATTACTTAAACATTTGGGACAAATATTTACTTCTAGAATACTAAAAGTTTTCGTTACAAATTTCTTTTTCGAAATTACAAAAAAAAAAAACGTTGATTTTAAAGAAGGTAAAATTGATAAAACAAAATTTTTATTCATGAGAATTAAAATCAAAAAATTATGTTTGAAATTTTTCTATTTTCGATATAGTAAACTAATCGTAACATATCAGTGCAAAATATCACAAATAATAATTATTTTTTGGTTTCGTATTTTTCACAATCGATTCCAAAGATAATTAAAAATCCCATAAAAAGAAAATCTAATAAAGAGTATTTTATACTGTGAAATATGCAAATATTTAATTTCATTACTAGATCATTGGAATTTATTGTGATTCTTTCTTCTTTTGAAAATATTTATAAAATGTAAATATTCATTGAATAATTTATTAAATATTTATTTAAAAAAAATAAAAAATAATAGCGAAATGTAAAAATGTGCCTCGAATCTAAAAATTGTCCCAAATGATTTTGTAATTAAAGAAAAAGTAAATAACAATTATAACAAAAATCATTTGTTCAAAAACGAATGATTCTATTTAAACTAGAGATCATGATTTATATTTTTATTTTCACATCTATCCAACCTTTCAAATTGCATGCGTGTAAATTTATATAAAAAATATATTATTAATGTAATAACTACTGGACAATATTTCATGTACACTTTGCCGACAAAGAGAACATTATAAAATCCTATATTCTCTAAATAGATTACCGAAGTTACCTTCTGATGAAAAAAAAACAAAAAAAAAATTATTCTATAAAAAAAAACATTTTATACTGATTTCTTTAAAGACTTTTTGCGACATTGAGTTTGAAAAAAAAGTAGACAGCGTCTTAAAAAAAAAAGAAAACTACGATCCAAAAATTACAAAGAGACTTTTTTTGAAACTAGAGATATCAAAAAGAGAGAAAGAATAGAAAAAAATATATTTCGAATAAACTATACTTAAAAATTGTGTGTTGTGCCTCGAGAATAAATAATGATAATAATTAAAGAAAAAAAATTGTATTCCATATGTACATAATTGTAGTATTCGCAAAAAGTCTTTAATTGCAATCAGGAAAACTCGCAAAAAAAAACTTCACTGTTATTTAGTTCTTAGTATACCTATGCTTGTACATGTATAATTATAAATACAAAAAACAGACATAAAATAAAAAATTGTAGGTTTTAAGAAGACTATTACAAAATGTTTAAGGGGATGTAAAAGATATCTTGTTTTGTGTATCAATCCCATACGCATTATGTACATCAAAAAACAAAAAAAGAAAAAAATGCACGTGTGAATAATATATGCAAACGTATTAGTTACTTAGATTATTGCCAATATCATTATTCACAACAACCTTTGGTGATTTTTTTTTAATAATTATTTATCTTTTTTTTTTTAATATTTATTTACCGCTTTTTTATTATTTATTTAGCATTTTCTCTAATTTACTAATTTATCATTTTCTCTTAATATTTTTTATTATATTTATTTTCTTAGTTATTTTTCTTTATTTTATTTTTTGTTTTTCTCGTTTTTTTATAATTTTTTATTGTTTTTTGATTTTTTTATTTTTATTATGAAACGAACGAGAATTTTTTCTTGTCAATCGAATAATATTTTTTTTTTAGTTGGAAAAGGAGTTCTTAAAGGGCGCACAAATTTTTTAAATTAAAAAAAATTCTTCTTTCGTATGGTGAAAGTGGTATTTTAAAGGGAAAATTAAAACCACAAAATGAAATTGGATTTAAATAGAAAAAGTAGTTTTTGTTTTAAAAATTTCCGAAAAATTAAAAATATTATCGTAAGATGAAAAAATTCAAATAGTAAGAAATATTTAATTGTAAAAAGGACAAATTAAGTAGAAAAGTCAATGCATGTCAGACAAAGACATTATTTTAAAGAAAAAAAAGAATATTTAAATTTAAACTGAAAAAGTCGTTTACTGCGTTCAAGAATATTATTTTAAGTAGAAAATTATTTTTCAGTCAGACAAAGATAATTTGAGTTTCAATTAAAAATATGTCCTATAGTCAAATAAATATAATCACAATATTTCCAAGAAAAGAAAATTGTTTTTGTCATAAATACATAAAAAAAAAATAGAAAAATAGGTATTACATTTTTTATTTTAAGTAGAAAAATACTTTTCGGGTAGACAAAAATAATTTGCATTTTAAGTGAAAAATTTTCCTTTTCGTCAGACGAAATTAATTCGAATTTCATGTAAAAAAAATTGTTCAATTCAGACAAATAACGTGAAAAATCATTTCAAAAAGATAAAAATTATATTTTGAGTAGAAAAAGACTTTTTTGTCAGACAGTCAGCAAAATATCATCAAAATGTCTAAGAAAAAAATTAGGAAAAAAGACATATA